CCCCAAAACCCCAAAACCCCAAAACCCCATGGCCTATAAAATCAGATAGGTAGGATGGTTAAATCAAAATCTTCAAAAATTCATATTTATTTGTGATTTTATCAGAATGTTTTAGTATTACAGCGAGCACAATCTTCATTCATCCTTATTCACATCTTTATTATAATCTAGATAAATCTTCTTTGTGTTTATTAGACCAAACCAAAATAAGACATAACGACTGAATCCCATTAGATAAAGACCAGCACCAAAGCATGGCAAGAAACTTTTACATAGCAAAACCAGAATAAAAGGATGATTGTGTGAAACCACAAAACTAATTGATACACTCAAAAGCATGCCAATTAAGGTAACTGCAAGGGCAAAAGCACTTTTAATCAATGGTACCTTGAAGTGATCAAGCATATCCTTTGTCGGTAAATAATTATTCTCAATATATAAACCCAGGATGGCTCCGAGGATAGTTGATGACGTGCTAAATTTCTCAAAATCAGATAATTCTGGATCAATGTGAATAAGTCTATTGGGGCAATTCTTTTTCGTGATAGCATACCAAGATTCAGGTGTTGGTCTATAATTGACGTTGTAGAAGTAAAGCAAAGTCTGAATCAAGTAACCATAGACAAAGAACTAAGTGAGAGGATTCCACAGTAGTACATTCTTGTGAAGGAATCGGAAGTTTCTCACGAATTTAATAAGATAATCAGCAATAATCTTGCAAGTAAAGTAGTATAGTGAAGCACCCCAGATAAAACCTGAGAGCACTTGGTTGTAGGTGTGATAACCATTATATATTCTAGACATTCCAATGAGAGTTACAAATGCAACATAAATAGACCACAAAAACCTTGGATGCTTCAAATGGTATTACAATATTAGTCTATTAAGAATAGATCCCAGCAAAGCTGTACTGATAAAAGCATGCGCCGAGGGATCGCCATGTTCTAGTGAGCACTTCCTCGGGTTTAGATTTTCGACCAAGAAGTAAGGTCTAGGTTCATTGTTTGCACTCTTAAGTATTGTTACCAAACCACAGCCGATCCCCTAGGTCATCAAACATATGAAGAAATTTTCACGAGATAAGGTGCAAGCAGCAAATGACAAGTATATGGCAACACCAGCACCATCTCCAAGAATACTTATAAATTCGAAGAATATCTCTAAGACCCTCGAGTAATACTCCTCATTCATCATTATCTAATGCTTCAATGAAGTCTCAAAGAATAGCTTCTTTAGTATTATATAGTCTAGAGCAATGAATGTAGTTAATACAACTAGAAGTCTGTGTAATTGTTGATGGTCATAGTTGAATTGAAGGGGTCTGACGAGTGATCTAGTAGTCATATCTGTACTTATCTGAACCTATTATAAATAATATTAATACTGACTCTCACATATTAATCGAATTATATATGAATTATATCTATTTAATTCTTATATTTTATAATTTATTATCTATTTCAGCTAGTCTGGGGTTTTGGGGTTTTGGGG